CGCTCGGCGTAACCTTGGCGCACTGCCACTCCAACATCCAATCACAGAGCTTGAGGACTAATCACGGGGTTTGTCAAGCAAAGCAGATGTTGTAGTCCCAAACGATAGCTGAGGATTATGGGTAGTGTAGTGTCTTCGGCCATCCTAAACTCCCAAAAAACGATTTGTTTCTCCGAATCGAAGGTTAAAAACACAAAAGCATTGTACACAATTTAAACCGATCAATGTTGTGTAATTAACAAGGATAAACTGATGTTTTTTAGTGGATGAGTAATGCAGATATCACTGTGTAATCATTTGACAGTAAGGGGAATACTTCCGGTTTTATTATGAAAACTTCGAGACCGGAAATGTTTTCACCCCGTGAGGGTTGACGCCAACTTTCCATGGACGCTGCGGAAAGACGTAGTATATACACGTTCTCCTGGCGAGACCTCAAATCATCTTCGTAATATCTATCAAACTATAGATCCTACACATCCACTGGACCTGGATTCTAAAAGTATAATATACACTTCTCGCTAGAAATCTAATCAAAAAGCATTTTAATGGCCAAACTATTCCACAATTTAGGATTTTCCAGAGAGGGTTATTTGTGAATATACGACCCTCCGGAGCGTTTGCAATCAACGGGAGCATGTTGTTTCTTACACGACCACTAGAGGTGCTACACTTTAAAACGTGACTATGGGTCGTAATAAGCTGCTGAACAATAGAGAGGCGAAGTCCCGCCCAACTACTTCCGACCCATGGGACCTTATTTCGGGAAAATTATGCATTGAAGTCAATGGGGAGAGAAAGATTATCTTTCGATCCCGTTTGAATTGTGCCATGAATTACACATATGATGTTTGTCAATCTTAAAAAATAATTTCCATGTCAAAAAAGTCACAGTTTGTCGTAAAACTGTTGAAATATAAGACTATGAAAAATACGCAACTAGAAAGACTACAAATCCCAGGATCCCGGTCCCGCATGCTGGCTCAAGACGGAACCGACTAACTCCCCTTGTGTGTATGTACAGCTCTCAACATGCCCAGACTTGTAGTGATTTTCACCTCTTTTAATACTTTCTGCCTCATTCTGAAAGAAAGAAGTGAAATGTGCCAACGTGACGGCCGTCTTGGTGTGTGGTGCGAGACGGGAGATGTAGTTCATTGAGCGGTTTCACACAAAAAAAAGTGTTACTTCACAGTTTTACGACACAATTTTATTTTTTTGACTTGTAAAATTATCTTTTAAATTGACAAACATCATATGTGTAATTCGTGGCACAATTCAAACGGGATCGAAAGATAATCTTTCTCTCGCCATTGCCTTCAATACATACTTTTTCCGAAATAAGGTCCCATGGAGGTCCACCGGAAGGGGAGGGACTTCGCCTCTCTATCGACCTATTTGGTCGTTTTTTGTAGGAGGACAGGATGTCTTGAATATATGGAAAATATTAGTTTTTTTTCATTGAAATATAAATACTTTCTAATTTTATTAGGCTCATCCGTTTTACAAGAAGACATTTTTTGGCAATTTGCGAGATATAATAGGGTCATTTTGATCTTTGTAGGATGGGTCATATGTGCTTCTGCGCTGTACCTCGAGCTCTGCTGGCAGCACAGTGACTTGTGAACATGTAGTGATTAAATAACTGCTACTGTACCAGATCCAACTGGCTCTGCTTTCATGTTGTGTCATATCCTCCGCCTGCTGCTTTCCACCTGCTTTGAAGGATGCGCTTGGGGATTTGACTTCCTCTGGTAACCACACCTGTTATTAACAAAACTGCCACATTCAGTCAATATAGTATTCTCAAGACTAGAATAAAAATACATAAAAGATAAATGAAAGATTATAACAAAACTATTGATATAAACATGTAAAGTTAAACTATGTGCAAAAATTCAAATGCAATAAAGATATTTATATAAACTAAATTGGTTAAGTAAAATGTCCAATAAAATAAAATAAAAATGTAATAAAGATATTTATACAAATTAAATTGGTAAAGTAAAATGTCCAATAAAAGATCAAATTAAATCAGATACAATATAGATATAGGAAATTAAGTTACATTTGGAATATTGTACTATAATATTTAACATGTATATTACAATATATTTATTGGTGTAATAAAAATAACTTGCCTGTGAATGGATTGCTGTTAAAATAATATCTAAATGCAAACACAAGTCCCTTTTTCACGGCACTAGGCATTTCGACTTTTCTCTCAGGAAACTTCCCTTGTAATCATTGATACGCTGTCATTCCATTATGCATGTTCTGCTTGGCACAGTTTGACAGCTATACCTTGTAGGAAACTGCAAATGATTCAAAACATTATTCTGTATTTATGAACAACATCTCCTCAAACTCATGTTGGCAGTAATACATTCCGAAGGGTAGGACTGCTGCCAGTACATTATGTACAATAACATCAATGAGTATGCTCCTGAATATTTGTATTGTCAGATAACAATGGTCCATACTCAGCATAACTATAATACCAGGGACAGTGTGCGTTCGCCTAGGTGAATTTTGTAGCCAGAAGTTCCTTATTTTACAGTTGAGCCACTTGCTACATATTAAGTCTTTAAATATGAGAGAGGCTTTGGAACAGGGTTTAAGATGATTAGTTCAATTTGCAATGATGTTGCAATTAAGGCTGCCCTGGTTTTGTTGTAGGATATTTTATGTATTTTTTTAATTGTAGTCACATGCTTTTTGATTGTGTTTTCTAAGATTTCTAACTCGTTGGCACCATGTTGGAAATAAGGGTTTTCACATAGTGTGTTATATAGGTTTTGATGCATGACTGAAATCCCAAAGTTCCCTACAGAGGGAGTTTCTCTCCCACACACTCCCCCCAGCCTGAAACTATACCCTAACATTGTGACATCACTATGTACCACTCACGCTTTTATTGGTCAGCGCTTCAACACATTATATTTGATAGGCTAAGGAGCAGAACATTTCGAAGCAGTTGACCATTCACAACAGAGCTGGCCAGTTAACCAATCAGAGCAGACTGGGCTCTGCTTTCAGACAGAGGGTGAAAAGAGGTGCTGTATGAGGAAAATAAAGAGCTTTTTGAACATGAATGCATGTAAACATGTAGCATGTAACATGTAGAGGCACAACATACAAATATGAAACCTGAAATGAGCATAATAGGGCTCCTTTAAGCTTTGGATACTTTAGTATTGTCTGATAATCACCACGTCTCTCAATCAAAACCTCTGCCATCAGAGCTTCACCTTTTACAATTTAACAAATTGAAAAAAGTACATTGGCTATTTGAAAGGTGTTCTCTTTCTGACAATTGGAGGAAAATAAACAAGAATAATTTCCTGGAAGCCTTCGTAGATGTGAAGTACAGAGCCAGGCGCAGACCTGTTTTCCTCCTCACCAGTGCTTGCACAGATGTTTCACTCCAAACTTGATTTCCCGAGGTGTGACGAGAGGCCCAGTAGACTAGGTGTCAGCAATCCTCAAGCATCTCAATGCAACTTTTCAAAATCCAGACTTCCATTATGACTGGATTTGAATTTATACCACCTGGCTGCTGATACAAGACCAGCGGCACAAGCAGTTTCTGAGCAGCCACAGTTGGTGCATGCTCATTCTCATTCAACACAAACATCTTTCCCTGAGTATTTCCATTTCATGTTACTTCATACTTCAATTCTGCTACGATTTAGAAGCAATTACGGCCCCTACACACGGCGGCGTGCGTTGACGCTTCAACGCTTCTGCCCATTCACTTTGAATGGGGTGACGTCATGATTCGCCGAACTGCATTCTGGGAGCAAAGCGTAGCTTTTCTCGCGGTGCTCGCTGCAAAAGTAGAGCAATGTTCTACTTTTGAAGCAGAGGCGGAGGCGTCAGCCAATCAAATCGCGCGTATGGAAATCTGCCAGTACAAGCGCTAGCCAATCAAACCGCGTGTATGCTGGGAGAGCCAGACCGCAGTTCATTTCCTCATATGCCAAAAAATTGAGGAGAAAATAATCGTAGTGGTAGGGAATCACCCGGTGCTTTCAGTCCCTGTTCACCTACCGGGATACAAACCGGAGGAGCCAGGCATGGAGGGAGGTGGTAGAGACAGTGGGTGAAACTGGTAGGTTTTCGCCTGTTTGGGGAGTTTATATCCAGTGTACTTCGTTTGAATGGACAGCAGGCATAGACAGTATATTTAGCCACCATGCAATGTTGCATAAAATAGCACCATAGACATTAATTAAAAATCGCTTTTTAGACATTAATGTCTATGGTGAGATTCATACACGGGAGCCTTTTTAAAGCCTTTTTACCCCGCTGCAAACAGAACCCCCCCCCCCCCTTCCCATCACAAACTTTACACAGATCCGTCCTTCCAATTATCAACTCATGTCTTGTTTACGCAAACTCTTGTGTCCTGCAGCAGCTAAACGTTTTGCAAGCCCCCGTTCGTTTAGTACCTAAAATAATAGACATTGCTTTTTCCAGCTGACAAACCCGACTTTCTGGTCACTTCTTCAATTTTCCAGCCCTTGGGGAGAGACACGGGAGATTCATGTGATTGGTTGTTGGTCGCTTTGCTCGCGTAAACTCCCCAAGTTCAAGACACGCCCACCGCCAAGCGGCAACGCACGCCGCCGTGTGTAGGCTGCGTTAGTGTACCTTTTACTCACTACATTTATTTGACTAGATGACTACTTACTTTGCAGGTTTATATTAGTAATCAACTAATGAATTATGACATACTATCAACGATTAAGATATGTGGCAGTATAAAACGTCATTAAAGTTATCTACAACTTTACTGCAACAAAGTATATTTATATGCTTATACTTGTTAAAAAACGTTGATCTGAGAACTTCTTCAGCCTCTGGTGCAGTGTACTTAAAGTGTTGAATATGTTGTCTCTCACTTTCCGTGCACATCAATCACTAACACATACATGTGTTCTGTTTTTGCCTTCAACTTTGTTGTGTACATTTCCTTGACTCTGTGATGTCATCAGACTGGGACGACCCGGAGTGGACTGCTACTGTCAGCATGAGAGTGGATCAGCTGTTCTTCAACTGCAGTTCCTCATCAATGAGGTAAGCCACACTTCATGAGCATGATTTTGTTAAGCTGTGATTTTTTTAAAGCTGCACGACTGAACTCTTTAGCATATCCACATGTCACCATCAACATGTCCACTTCCTGGGTCCAAATGTCTTCTAACTCTTTGCACCATGACGTTTTCTTCTTGAGATGTAGCTGCTGCAAGTTAGTTACCCATAGAAGGACCCTTTTTTTATTGATTTAAAAAAAAGAAATCTGCGTGACAGTTGTGTAAAATGAATGAAGAAGTTGATTTGTGGAGCTTTAGGGACATGCAAATAAGACGAAAAATAAAGTTTATCAGCAGAGACCAATTTATTTTGGGATGCACTTTGCTGTGACACGGAAGCAACGTAAATGCTCCCCCTAAGTGTTGTTGTTAAATGTCGAGAGAAAAAAATGTTTTTAATAATCATAAATTTGCGCTGCTGTGCCTTATGTGTAAATGGAAAGCCACACTTTGCTGCTGCAGTGGGATCACAGCAGGGATTTGATTTATTTGAACACTAATCTTTTTCTTTATTAATGAAGATTATTTCACCTACAGCAACATAAGGGCTCTGCAGCTCACAAAGATATATATGGTAACAATCAAATGAAAGATGAGCGCGATGCAAGCCCAGTCTTTCTGTGCATAAACTCATCTTTTTCTTTTTCACAATTGGTTTATTTTGTCAATTCAACTGATTGTCTTGAATTAATTTCTTTAAAATTGATAAGAAGTGTTCCTAATGAGTCGAACATATTAGTTTGAAACAAACTCAAATGCTTTCTTATCCGTGTATCTACCCTTTAGTTGTTGCCTGGATGCTGGTTTACCTGTACTCAAACATACTTCTGTTGATAGAGATTGGCAGGAGCCTACACACTTTATAATAAACTATTTAGGATCATGACCATATGAACATGACTTACTGAAGGATATTGATTGGTTTCTCTCGGCCTAAAATAAGATCTCACTGCTTTTTTTCCCTACTGACTGTTTACTAACAAAATAGGGTGGGTGTATTAGAGAAAAAGCCCCTCTTGTAAGTCAAAGAGCAGAAGCGAGTCAAACGGGTGAAGAACACAAAGCCGTGTTTCCTTTGTCTTTCTCTTTCTTGTTTCTCCTTTATTCCGCTGTAATCTACGTGCTCTTCCTGCCTCTCTCGGCTCGTTTTCCTTGCCCACTCTGTTTCTTTTCAAGCCCACTGGCTCTTTCAGCCCACCTCTCATTCACTCATTCGCCTACTTGTGATGTGTCTGAGGCAAATGGAGGTGGATGGGCCTGAAGGGGGCTGTGATTGTGCTTGTGTGACAGGTATTGACTTTTTAGGCCTGTGTGAGTATTTGTGTGGGACTAAGTGTGTAAGCACCCACATGTTTGTGTAAGAGTATCTCAGCTGTGTGTAACCGGTTGTAAGCTTGAAAGCAGGGTTTAAGTGTGTAGTGTTTACACACAGTGTTTTTTGCACTGTGACGTGAGGTTCTGCCTAATATACAATATTGTAAAGTAACTAAATATATTTACTCAGGTACTATACTTAAGTACAATTTTGCAAGTATGTAGATGCTTGTGTGAGTGGAGATGCAATATAATATGTGATGACAACCAACTTTCATCCACTTTTTATGTTTATATATGTTTTTCATTCTTTTTTTGGAAGAAATACAAAATGATGTAATATGTTGAAAAAAATTAAAGTAGTGAATCAAACGCTCACTTAAAAAAAAGTACAATTTTGATGTTTTGAATTATTTTACCCATTTTATGCTAATTCATACGAGTATTGTACTTTTTACTCCTCAACATTTATGTGATGGTTTTAGTTAGCAGTTACTTTGCATGTTCTTATTATTAGTACAAAATATAAAACATTTTAAGAATTTTGATGTATATTATAGATTTAGTTACCTGGATGTATAAAAAGTCAGTAATATTATCAGCTGCAAAATTCAAATATAATCCAGTGATACAGTATACAGTATATTATTAGGAAAATGCACACACTGAGTACATTTAGTTTTTAGTAATTATGTTGTACTTACCAACAAAATGAAAGCTGAATAAGATCGAAGTACCACTGCCTACACACTGTCTGCAGTCAGTAGTGTGTGCATAGAGTGTGTGTGTGTGTGTGTGTGTGTGTGTTCATGTCTGTTTGCGTGTGTTTGTCTGCTACATATGTGCATATCCGCTTCCCCCCAGTCTCCCTTATCCTAACTAAGCACCTATCACAGTGCCTCCTGTAGGTCTTCTCACGGTGTGACAGAGTGACTAATAGCCGTGCAGTATGCCGATGCCCTCTCTTGGGTTTAGTGTGTGGGCTGTCGGCAGCCCTGCTAATGGTTGAGTTGCCAGCCTCTTGACATTCACTGAGGTGTAATGACTTATTCCCATTAGATGTATGAACCCACCGAAGAGGCCACTTCTTGCAGGTGCCTGTGAATGATGAGCTTGTGCATGTTTAATGTATATTCTTGTCCTCAGCGCGTCTAGTTGTCAATCGTTTATTATGCAGTCATAATCTTGTCGTCCTCTTCAGCCTCTTGCTATTGATGAGGAGAATATTAATTTTACTTTTCTGTCACTGTGTCGACGTAGGGTATGAATAGGCTAATTAACGGGTTTGTTTGCCTATTTGGAATACATTATTTTTCGTGGATGAATAATACATCTTAGAGGCTGAGGGGGCTACTGAGGGTTGGCGGCAGATGAGGTTGGATGGTGGCGGGGAGCAGGTGGGAGACTGCTTAGGTAAGGAAAGGTGAGAAGGATTTGTGTGCCGTGCTGAGAGCTGGATTACAGAAGGCATTCTCAGGAGCGCTGTACAGATGCTCGTTTCTAAACAAAACACACCGTCTAGTACTCAATAGGTAAAAGTCAAAAAGAGATGATTAATTATTGTCACAAAAACTTTCTTCTGTCGTTTTTGGTTTTATCAGTCTGTACATAAATCGCTGACACTAAACATCAGAAATTATTTGAGATTTTACAGCTTTAAAATTGATGAAAGGGAGAAGAAATTATGTTTTTGAAACACTTCGCCATCTGCTGCTAATGAGGTATGAGGCCAGTATCTGGAATTTAGTGAAGGTGCATTTAGATTTCCCAATACTCTACCTGGTATGTTGATTAATGTTTTGAACAATGGCAGGGAAACCATGTGCCTGGGAAACGTTGTTATTGAATATTATAAATAAAGACCCTTTTCCTCCTACATTTCTTGAAACCGAGAACATGAAACATTTGTCATCTTTGCAGCAGAGTGACTCATTTGAATGATGATACCTAAGAAGGTAACCGCCTCCAGGCCATAAGCTCCATCACTATCGTGTTACCTCATTCATTGTAACTTTACAGACATTTATATCAATTAAAACCTTTGAGATTTTCATTCTGCTCTAATACTCAGTGTTGAATCGTATTTCCTCCATTTGTAAAGAGGTGTTGAGGACAAATAGGAGAAGCAGGAGTAGACCGATGGAACAGGTGTTAACACATTGAGGCAGCAGGACACACACCTCATTAACCTTTGACACGACCTAAAGTGACTTCAGGTTTGACAACTATTAGCCTGCAGCACCAGATGAACGACCAGAGTGTTATTATCTGAAATGCTACTTTTCCCTTCTTTTTTCCCCTCTTAAATAAAAAGAACAAGGAAGTAGGTCTGGCTATTTTGGTCTATACTTTTAACATGATTATTTAAGGCCTACTTATTGACTTTGGAAAACCTTTTGCATTTAGGAGAGCAAAATAAGAAGACTAGATATATAAAGAATGTTGTGCTATTGTTAATAATCTAATCATATACACAATGGTTGGATCTATAACACTGACAGCATAATTGCAAATGGAATGCTTACTTTCATAATCATCTGAAGCCAAAATCGTAAATAAATATTACATTTGATGAATCGGCCAGCAATAACGTACAGTATGTAAAGCTTTTAAGCTATCATTTTAGTTTCATTCAACAGCTGTAATAGTATTCTTGAAATACATACTAAGCTTTCTATTAGGCCTACGTATTGATACAAATGAGCATTAATAGATCCTCTAAAGGACATAGTGTTTAATAAGTGATATAGACAGGCATTTCCATTGACCAAATCTAATCAAAAGTACGTAACTAAAGTAAGAATGATCCCTTTTAACAATACCTTCTTTGCTACAAGAGTATGTATTGCAAAACAATAAGGGGAACTCAGTTTTATATGATACAAATCCTCCATTTAAACCCACATACACATAATCTCTCCTTAAGCGATCTTCTTGATGATTTTGTTGTGCAATTTTCTCTTGGCCCTGCTGCCTGTCATTTACCTCCTGCTGTGCACTGTCAATGTGCCTGTTCACTTCGCCTGTGTTGACATCCAGGCATCAGGAGAAATAATACCATAATGGAGTTTTTCTCCCTCTCGTGTTCTCTTTTCTCACCCTTCTGTTGTGATTTGTTTTCACAAGCTGCTCCACCTTTCTCTTCCATGTAACAGCATCACAATCTTCAGTGTATCTTTTGAAATCTGTGAAAATAAAATTAATATTTATTGTTCAACCTGAGGATTATGCTTTAGGGTCCAGGCAACATGGAGCTGAAAGTCAGGAAATGAATGAAAACTCCTCAAAAATAAGAGTAATCAGGGTGCAATTATGTTACATGACAAATAGAGTGAAACTTAAAGACAATTATTGAAATCTTGGTAAGGTTTAATATGAAAATGAAAATCAAAGCAGGGAACAGACATTTTCATTTCCAAATTTCGTGCCAGGTAATCATCATCACATCAGAGACATTTTAAACAGCTAGAGAAGAGAATCACATTTTTTTTTTTATGTTTGAAGAAAGGGGCGTCAAAGAATATGAGGCAGTAGGCGGAAAAGGCTCAAATAATGACGTTATTCATTAAATCGTTCTACTCTGTTGATACACGTAGGAGGATCAATTATGTTTATCTCGTAGAGAAGGCTTTATCGCTCACTTTGCTAATAGGCTCTTGTGAATTAGCTGTCACGATTTTAAGAGAGATGTAAGTCCCAGTTGGCTCTGAAAAGTGAAGGTCATTCATTCAAATGTAGAACATGGATGAGGGTGAAATAAAAAAAGGACAGGTTACAGTAGTGTTTTAAGAATATGCTTCCATAGTCCACAGAATACCCAACGCATTATATTGATTTAAATGCAGTCTTTTGCTTCTTACTTTATATAACTAAAGTATTTTAGAATAAATAGTAAGGCTGTACAAAGTGATGGATTCAGTGAGTGGGAGGGGGGATTCTTCCCCAATATGGAAATCATTGGGGAAGAATGTTCTGATCCTCCCCTGCACTGTACAATCTTTAATCCCGCGATTACGTTTGTAATCTAAAGCTAATTCTCCCTGGGCTCCCGTCGTAGCACAGCCACACTGGGAATTACAATGTACAGTAATTACAATCCTCAGAACTGGGAAACCAGCTGACATCATTTGAAAAAAATGTCCCCTCCCAATTTTCATCAAAATGTCTATGATGTATACGTGTTTTTGCACCAATATTTCAACAAACTTCACCTTTAAATACTCACTGATTAAAATGACAATGTAATAATAGCTGGTTTATTACAGTCGTTCAACTCAAACGCTAGCTTTATAAATGCAAGGTTCCATGGATTCCTTTATGTTTAAATGCCTTTTTCTTTTTCCATAATGTGGGTGAACTATCCATTTAAATGTCTGGCCAAAACTGTTTTGATTCTCTCTAAGATGGATGGCTTGACAAAGCAATATAAAACTGCAAAGATGAACAACTATTTTACACATAAACACTCAAATGTATTTGTTACAACAACACCAATACAACACCTTGGACTTTGAGGAACTGGGATGGACATATTTACCTTTTCTTATAGACCAAACGATAAAACATAGTCTATAATTAAATGTTTTTGAACAAGTAGATTATTTGGATCTTTTGTGTGTCTTGGGTGCCTTAAAACCAGAATCTGTTGTGTTTTTCCACTTTGTGCTCACAGTCCAATCCACCAGGACTACAAAACGTGGGTTCATTTGAAAGGGTGAGATGTCCTCTGTGTAAAATGATTCGGTACAAATGTTTCCCTTTTTGTTTTTTATTTCAGGGGGCGCTGGTCACAGCCTGTGCAGATGACACGCTTCACTTGTGGAATCTCCGTCAGAGGCGACCGGCTGTCCTCCATTCACTCAAATTCAACAGAGAGAGGTAAGCATCAATTAAAAACCCTCACACACATCCACACAAAGGATCACCCTCACACACATCATGCACACACGCTCAACACCTTATTTCATTGATGGATGGGTTCGTCTCTTCAAGGTCAGTATTTACAATATCACACAGGAAGGCAAGGATAAGCCCCCAAAAAACCTCAACCCACCAGCCCTCTACTAAGGACCTTCCAGTCATTTTTAACAATACAACCACAGCTCTTATAAGGGATCCAAATTTGTTCTCCCTTATTTGTCATAAATCACCAATGTCACTACCATCGGCAGCAGTCAGAGTTCTTGCACCAAGAAGACACATTGAATCAGTTTGATCTGACAGCGAAGCAGATTGTTGACAGGCCAAGGCCAGTTCCTCCGTCCTGTCTCTGATCCTTTTTCACCTTGTCTGACAAACCTGAGGAAGAAGATCTGCTGGCATGAAGCTCTGTCTTTGTTTCTCAGCTGGCGACCCCTTCTGTCTCGTGAGCCGCCCCCATGAACACCACCACAGGCTGTGAGAGCCGGCTCCCCAGTGGTTATTAGGCAGCCGAATCCATCTCCGTTGACATGTTGCCAAATAAATCCTTGAGACCCATAATCCAGGTTTCACATGGTCGCTAAAACCTGGCATGAGTTAAGAGAGCTGGTAGAATAGATACAAGAAGAAGGATTTATTTGTCGCCTGTTGGTCTTTATTTGACAGAGGACAGAGGGGGAAGAAAGAGAGAAGGGTATGACATGCAACAGAGGTCCCTAAGCCAGAAATCGAACACAGGACATAGCGGTTATTTGGCATTTGCTGTAACCACTCATCCACGAGCTTGTGGAATATTTTCAATAGCTGGCCCTGTAGGCCGTGACATGAAGGTAGATGAGTTGAATCTAATTTGCATTATTATAGACCAAATGAACTGCAGAGGTGTTGGCAATGCCAGGAGCCATGACATGCTTCACCTCATTATCGAGGCTTGCAGATGTGGATGGCTTCCAGAATTGAGCCATGGAAACCCTGATATACTTGAAGCTTGAAAAAAGAGGCCATATGCTAAGTAAATAGCATTTAAAATATAGGTTTACTATCATGTTGTCATCTCCTCTTTTGTAGAATAGCGGATGTGATGGTAAATAAGGGCTTGGCTCTTGGGCTTTTCCTAGCAGAGCCTCCTTAATGTTTCCTGTTAACCATTAAACCTTAATGACAAACAATGGCCTCAAGATGCTGCTGCTTGGTTTTTCGAAACAGTTCCCATTTGCTTTCCTAGGAAAAACCTTTGGGGGCCTCTGGTTATACACAGAGGTGACTCAGTTGATAGAAACGACACCCTCGGGTAAAATTGCAAACTTCTGGTGTGTGGTTAAATCACTGTGTCATGGCAAAGGTTGTAAGTATTCAAGTTTGCAAAGTCTGTGTAAGAAAATAAAAACATTTGGCATTCTACCTGCACCTTTGTAGCTAAAGCTCTTAAACCTGCTTTTTTGGTTAAACATCACATGATCAATTTAAGTAGACGTGAGGAATATTCCCTTTAGAAATCAACCTGACAAATTATTTGGAGAGTGTTATTAACTATTAGAAGTCGCATTCAAGTATTTGATAAGTAATAGTAAGTAGTAGTAATCTTCCTAACACAGGAATATTATTTTTAACTTAAAGTTATAGCCAGTTTCTTGTTAAACTAAAGCCATCTTGACAAAGAGTGCTTTCAGAAATTGTCGATACTTTTCAATAATTTGGTGCTCAAAATTATAGACATGATTACAAGATTATTTTATTTTATTTATTATTTAATGTAACTTTTTCAATGTCATACCAAGCAGGTATGAGTGTTTGACAGTGTGTCTCTGGAAGGGGGGCAGTAATTAGGGGCAGTTCATAAATCCATGTAAACATGACCATTATTCAGTTAAAACGAGATGCTGCGTGCGCACCTCCTAAACCGGAAGCTCCGGTCGGCTAACCATTATAATCCGTTTATTGCGTTTGTTATTTATAATTGTAATGATGGATTATCAGTAATCATTTTAAAGTTACACAGAAACATTGGATTAACCGTTTTTATGCCCTTGAACACAACTTTTGATCACAAAACAGCAAAGGTAAGACATCATTATCATCATGGCTACGTAAAGTGAAGTTGTTTTCTTGCTCTTTCCTGGCTGCTAGTTCAGTGAGTTTTGGTCGTACAGGGATTAGATTTATACCAATGGAATCTGTGGAATCTCAGCTTTCATGTGATATGTTTGTGCAGATAAAATGACGTAGAAAAGATCGCTTTTGCCAGTTATGTGCTAAAGTAGCCGTTAGCCCCGTTAGCCCGTTTTGCTAAGTTTTGATTTAGACTCTTGGTGTTGGACTTCTGTTCCGTGTAGGTAAAATGGTTAATATCGTGTTAGCTGAGTTTCTTCCCGTTAAGTGGGTATGCATCATTAATAGGTTGTTAAATGTTAAGAAGCCTTGAGACGCTGTTTCTAGCAAGATGTTGTGTCTGCCCCTATGGTCTGCCCCCGGGAGTCTCACAATAATAAGAGCACTGTTAGGAGAGATGACGAGTGGCATTCACAGTGGCCAATCAGAGTGGTACAGTAATCAAACCATATACGTCACACGGGATGAGGGTTCCCAACCAACCAGAATTGTTTAAACTAAGGAAGTAGCGTAATTCATATACTGTACCGATAGCAGCACCGTTTGTCCAGCGGCTTAACGGTATACCAATAGAGTGCCACAGTGACGCGTCCTAAAACCCGGAAGTAAACTCCTTCCGGTTCCTTCGACAAAAAAGCAATGCAATTTCTCCATAGGATTTTGGAAAATAGCTCGAAATAAGATCTGTTGTTGATACACATTTAAGAGACGGATCACGTTTTGTTCAGCTGGATAATATCCACATGTCTACCCTACTTTTATAATTTTCTAATCATAAATCTAGTCGCTAGAAGCAAAATGTCAACGTCACGCCAACTTAAAATCCATATTCAAAACTACAGATTCAAAATTGTACAAGTTGAAGCGTTTGTTTGAACAGTTTGCAGGAGGCAGGTACTTGCTTTCAAGCAGAACACGGGGAAAAACAAACTTAGCGGGAGTGTTTACGTGTTCGGTGTAATGACGTAAAACGGCCTCGACAACTTCTGTAGTCCTATTCAGCCACATGTTAACAACCATCGTTTTTCAGACACGTAAACTCTTCATAAATCACCAGTGGGGTCACTGCTGATGTATTTAATGTCGTAGAACAAAACGTGATCCGTCTCTTAAATGTGTGTCAGCTATTTTCCAACATCCTATGGAGAAATTGCATTGCTTTTTGGCGAAGGAACCGGAAGTGGCAAAATGCTAACTTACTTCCGGGTTTTAGGACGCGTCACTGTGGCACTCTATACCGTCCAATCAGGTACCGGTACTGACTTAGTACCGGTTATTGATACCCATCCCTAACTCCAACAAAAAGTGTATTTGCACCTTGTAGCACTCGTGTCGGGGGCAAGGACATCTAATGAATAGGACTGCATCCGACTGAATATGAATATCAAAAAGCACAGGATTTAATTTTTCGCGACACATGGTTTCCTTTCTTCTTGTTGTTCATAAAAGCGCAGGGTCAGAGTGTTAATTAAAGTCTTTCATGAGTACATATAATTTAATAGCAAACTCATTCTGATTACTAGTCAAGGACTTCTGCTGAGTCACAGGGCACGATCTCTCTCTACTGAAAACTTCCCAACAATAGAGAGCAAAAACTTTCTCTCCAATAATCCTGCTTTAAAAATGCATATTAGACATAAAACTCAACCAGAGGCACCTTCATAATGCATCAAAGCCTTAAAGGGAAAAGAGCTCGAGGCGTTTGTTAAATCCATGTACTTCCTGCAAGTTTTCATGGTAGGAACTTGGTGTATCTGTGTCTCAGGGTTCAAGTCATTAGCAGTGTGTGTGAGAACTATAGACATTTGTTAGGAATTATGTCAAACCCCATTCAAATGTTAACGTCTTTTTCACTGTGGAATCATGTTGTTTAAAACCGCTAAGACAGTGAGAGGCAGTGACTGTTGCCTCTCTATAGGCATAATGCCAACCATGCTGTCAATGAGAGACAGTAATATTAAGATCGTAAAAATCATCTTTCTTTCTATTACATATTTAAAATAGAAGTTATTATAGTTATTAAGAGTTTAATAATGATATTACCTCTTTGGCAATACCAGCTTCAATGTTCGACTATGTGATATTAAGCAATGGTTATATTAGCTCGCCAATTTTTCTTTATTGACCATTTCTAAATGTGAGATGTGTATGTTGTTGCAAACATTTTCATTTGAAAAATAAATAACATTATCAACAGAATGTGAGGGTTACATTGTTGAGGTTGCGTCAAAGACGTGTTTTTATTGTGTTGCAGATATATATAATGAAATATGCATGCTAAACAGCTAGCCCCAACCCGATCTGTCAAGTTATACCACTTGTTACTCTAGAGGCGCAAGTGAGTCCTGGAGAGTCCATTCTGCATTCAGTCCAACCTCAGAGGACGAGGAAGGAGACTTCCCACTCAACAAATCTGTAGTCAACCAAAAACAAGTTTTACCTGGTAGCCTAAATAAAAAAGATATAGATATACTTGAAATAACTCTGCTCATATTCACATAATTTACAAAATAGAACAATCCTCCTGAGCTGTGTGTCATGCTATTGATTGGTTCAAACATTCTGAAATATGCTAATTCTAATATACTTGTCATGGGTCAGGGTTTTTATTTACTACGAATTTTAGTGCAGCGGCGCTAACGTTATGAGATATAATGAGAGCACCCCTCAACTTGCAAAAACTTGTGAAGAACAACTAAAAGTACTGAACTATTATCATGACTCGGGCATCCAAGCCTATGTTTTATTTATATTTGATGTATGTATCTTAAAGGTATACGTTTTCCTGATCATCTAATAAACCATATTTCTTCTTCTACTGCAACAGCCTCAATACATTCATCTTTTGT